ATTTATTTACTTCTTTTTTTCTTTATATATGTACATATATACACACTATATACTATATATAATATACACACATATACATATGCTATACAGTACATAGTATACTATATATACTATGCTATATGGACTTATAAAGCATATGGTACATACGTGTATGCTCTCGCTCTCTCTAATATATACAGTACATCATTGTTCATTTTTGTACAGTGGGTGCTTATCAGCTTTGTGCCCACATGTAGTCCCCATAAAAATCCCACACTGAGCCCCCCACGCCCTATCACCATCATCTCTTGCTCTCTACCCTCCCCTGTTTTGATCCCGCTCCCTCCCCTGAAGAATGTCTCTGATTTATAGTTGCCTGCTAATTCTGATTTTTAAAAATTTATTATTATTATTGCTTTTGTCTTTCACGGATGTCTTTTCAGTTTTGTTTTACAAAGGCAATTAATTTAGTTTAATTTTTGTAAGTGTTGTTGATTGGCCTATGTCATTTGGGAGGAGTTTCACTGTGAACACTCACCCTCCACAGGGGCTCCAGGGAAACCCCAAACCCCCTGGTAACCAGTATGTCACTCATGAATTAGTCTTGAACAGGAATTATTATCATGAATTATAATTAAATTAGAATTATTCCTGTTTCGCCTGTTTGTTCTCTCTGGTTATTTATACACCACAAGTGAGGAAGACCCTCTGGAAGCTTCTTTCTCTTAGCACAATCAACATCCATCCATCCAAAGGGCACTAGTTCATCTTTCTCTTTACTAGCTCAGTAGTACGCGGATGAGTATTTGTTTACTTGTGGACATTGTAGAACATCAATATAGTGTATGAAATAAAAAGCACATTAAAAATATGTTGAGTGTGTGTGGTTGTGTGAGACAAGTCCATCAAAAGCCAAAGTTAAATTATCTCAAGGCCTTTGAAGCTGTGTTCCTGGGGATTTCAGTCTACCCTGTGGGCCAACAGGCTAAGTCATGAGGATTTACGTGCGGCTATGGATGGACATTCATCACCAAGACAAGAACTCTGGGATGCTGTGTAGATGCTTCTGCAACACAACTCTTTTATGATTTCCTGATGGTTTCAAGAACAAGAATGATCTCCACAAAGGACAAAACAAATTAGAGAGGTCAAATTTGTTTAAATGTGGAGATCATACAATTTCCTCAAATGATGTGAATTTGGGGAATCTCTCAGTGTAAGTAGCTCTAGTGTAAAATTTAGGACTGTGGCTCATCCTCCTGTGCACCGTCCCCAAATTCCCTTTTAAAATAAAACTGGTTTGGGATGAATAAGTGAAGAAGTATGATTGCTGTCTTCTTATGAACACCGCTGACCCTCACTTGGGTCTATACCTAGTGGCAAATTAACAACACTTAAAAAATTTAAATTAAATTAAATGAATTATAATTCATGATATAATTCCTGGGTGCACAGGAGGAAGTCCTCGGGTATCGAAGAAGTCATCCTCTGGAAGGTTTGGGGCCCTCCTGAGTAGCTGATTACATGTGAAATCAACAGTTGATTCTATGTGAAATCAATGAGACCCCAGTGTCAAGAAAAGGTGAATAACTCAATTGGTGGTTTTGGTGTCACTAATGAAAATTTTGTCACAACATAGTCTACTGGCGAGATTAAATCAACAACATGAAAGCGGGAGAACTTGATATTTCAAGGATAAAGGGATAAATATCATCTTCCCCTGGGCAGGAACAATGATGTGATCTAATGGTTCTAAACCACGGGGCAAGAGGGACTTTCTAGCTCTGTTGTGCCCCCAAAACCACCACACAGAACATTGAGTTCACAGGAAGCCTTTATAGGCCTATGCATGCTTAGCAAGAAGCTAACCTGGATTTAGTGAACTGTTTAATTTAATTTTAAGCCAGTTAATTTTGAGTCAGTTAACATTAATTAATTCTTTCATTATCTTTCTCATTGAAGGAAAGCACAATGTACATTTTTAATGGCCTTGGCAATTTTGTGATTCTTTTCATCCAGTTCTCTACACAAATAGCAAATGTATTATTTTTTTTTATACACAAAGCAGGGTGGCTGTTTCCAGATATCTATTTTTTCAAGCAAGAACAGAAGTGTTGTCTAATTAGGGGGATACATCAAAATGTGTTTACTCATTTGCCCTCCAAGAAGGAAGACCATAAAGCAAAATGAGGCTTTGTACTTGTCTGATGTGAAAAGATTATGTTGTATTTTTCTCTTATGGTGGTTGAGACTTGTCACTTGAAGTTGCTTATCTGTAAAGCCAGTAACATCCCTTGAGCCATCGTTCTTTAAAAGATGAAGACAAAGCCTTCAACTGCCTGAACAACCATGTTTGGGACAGCTTTTAGAGCTGGTTGGTAACTTAATCTTGTAAAACCTTTTTTTTTTTTTTTTGTAAAACCTTTTAATCATGTTAAAATATGTAAACATTCTCTATCTGATCAATATTAATCTCCATGGTTCAGTTAAAAACTGAAAATCAATGAACACTGTCATCTTTTTATTTTGTAGTAGATGCAAAGTAAATGAAATGCAACATTTTTATATCTTGGATAGTATTTTTGGTACACTGCCAGCCCCCACATTATGCTTTTTCCTAGTTTACAGGACAGACCTTCATTTTATATTAAGTAAGAAAATGAAGGGAGAGAGAAAGAAAAATTAAGATTTGTTTCACACACAGAACCTATTTCTTAAAAGAAGACTTACATGCATACGGGCAGCCTTTGTAAAGAAAAAGTTCTGTCTGGGGGACATGGGACTCTTTGTTTATGGTCCAGAGATGTGGGGGGAACTTGGGGTATTCCCCCAAATTGCGTGCCCTTGGAAAAATCATCATTTATTCAGCTTTTTATAAACAGTGAACTAGATATGGAATTATTTATTATTGTTAACCTTCTAGAATAAGCATAGCTGTGTAACTGACTTGAAATTAAACCCAGCTTTCCATTTGCAAGTTTGCACCAGTTGATGAAGTTTCTGATTTCTAGAAACATGTGATTTCCTGGCTGAGCTCTGTTTATGTTTCTGGTTCACTTTCTCTTCTTCTCCAAGCTCTGACACGCAGACCCAAGATGCACCCCTCCAGTTTTAGATGGCCCCAGAACTTAGCAGGTAAGTCGCCATCTCCAAAGCCTTAGCCGCACTGCCCTTGAAAGCTTCTTTGCGGCACAGGATGTGATCAGCACGTACAATAGCAACAGCGATATGTGAACTGTATTTTGTTTTGAAAAATTTTGGGGGGAAAACACAAGATTTCTAGACATACTTGAAAAAGAAGGGTATTAGTTAGCTATAATGGGGCAGGAGAATTTAGTGTCTTCACAAACACTGCAAACTTAATATTATTCAAAATCATGCCTACGAATGGGTCACCATCATGATAAGGAGCCTCCTTTGGTGATACTTTCTATTCACAGCAGATGAGCACATGGGTACCGCAAAACAACCAAATAAACTGAACTGTTATATGCCAAAAAGGTACAGGTAAAGGAAAATGAGACATTTAGATTTAAATATGTGGGCCAAGATTACATGATGAGTAAGTGGTGGAACTGGGGTGTGAACCCAGGACACGAGCGAGAGTCCATTATAGTAGACAATTCCCGTGGCATGAAAGAGCTTGTGGAATTTTGTTCATGAAAATGTAAATTCATGAAAATGACGACGTATGAGCATTTTACTTGTTTAGAGCAACTGTAAGAGCCACAATCGTTCATAAACATAAGAGAACTACCACTGTCAAATACTGCAAACATGGGCAAGCAATGAATGCGTAAGATTTGAAATAAATTCCAATTAAAAGGAAGGCATATTTTCACCTGATTTAAGTCACTAGAAAAATATTTTAATAAGGTCATTGTATAACGGTTTAAATTGAACCCAAATCTTATTAAAAGACAAAGTCATGTTGACCTCTTACTGATGCTCCTTCAATTAATCCCAGCCTTATATTAATGATTCCATTAATGCCTAAGCTCCTCATTCATCCTCCTGAAAGGCCAAATGCCTTCTCAGTCTGATTTGTACTCACTTCCCTTGGGGATTAGGAAGACTCTTTAAATGGTCTACTAGATGGAGTCATAAAATGTGGATGTAGCTGTGAGAAAATTAGAACTGATTTAAGGCTAACATACAATCATTTGTTAAACTACTTGTCTTTTATAGTAAAATTATACATTTTAGATTTAAAATATTAGCTATTGAGAATTTTAAAAATAAAAATGAATAAAATACTAGATATAGGATTCTGCAGTCTTCAAATTGGCGTAGGAACATGGATTTTTTTTTTTTCTGGTTAATGACCCTTCTCATTCCTGAGGCTCCACCTACCCTTCTCAAAGATGAAATCTTATCCACCTCTACAAATCCTGAAGGGAACATTCATCTTTTAAGAGTAGAGCCAAATGTCATCCTACTGTTTACTTTCCAAAAAATTAGCTATAAAGCTAATATTTTTTCAGCTACTTGTAAAATTTATTATTTCAGGTTTTATGAAATTAGTTTTTAACTTGACTCTGAGCTGGCTGAATAGCTTCAGAACAGGGGAGCAGACAAGTCATTCTGTTGAGAAGCAATGTAGGTCCTATTGGCCAACATTTTAGTGCTGGCTAAGGCATTTACACAGAAAGAGCTAAAAGTTTCAGAGTCTTGGCTGAAAGTAGGACAAATAATAATGGAATCCTTCCTAGTAATCACTTAATTTTCTTGGTTATTTTGGGCCCACCTTTGAATCTCTCATTGTCCAGCTGCATGTGGAGACATGCAGAAAGCACCCAGCCCTCCTGGGGTCTCCATGGAAACAGGTCATAGGTAGGTAGACCTGGAGAACAGGGACCCTGTGATGGCCACAAATAACTCCTGTGTCTATGCCAAGTGGTTACTAGAGAACTGAGAGTCAGTGACTGGGGCTGGCAGGGATGACCCACTGTATATAATGTGGGCTAGACCCCAGTAACCTTCATTTCCAAGCAGCTAGGTCACGGAAGTAGGATTCTTACCCGCGCCTTCTGCTCCATCTCAAGCATCAATCTTTCGTGTTGCTCAGCTATGGCCAGTGTCGCAGAATGTACCTTCTGGTAGATCATTTCTCCTTCCCTGGTTTGAAAAGTGAACAGTCCTTCTCCCGTGTCACACATTCTGTGAGAAAAGAGACAGGGAAAGAGAGGGGTCTTCAGATATTTGGGTGTGTTATGGTCCCCATCCACAGCAGCACCTGCCTGGCCTGCCCCTCTTCCTCGAGTTCCTAAGAGTTAATGGAGCAGATCCATCCTTGACCCAACCAACCAACCAACCAAAAAATGCATCTGTACATGAGGACAGAGGGGGAGGTTGGAGAAGCTTCCACAGCAGTGTACAAGGGCAGATCAACGAGCCTTTGGTGATTTCAGTGCATGTCTTCACAATATTTAAAAGACAGAAACAGAGAGTTGTTTTCTTGAAGGATTTTCGTGTTTGTGGGATCATCATCTCTCACTTGATAGCTCTTCACATTTAAAGAATGTCAGACAAATCTGCAATTTTATACTCACTGCAGTAGGAACCAAGGAAAAGATGATAATTAGTTTCTGGATTCACTTATGTAGGTTGATGCTTTTACCGAAACCAGGCAATTCTTAAATAAATCTTAGTATTACTTAGGAAAAACAATGGTGCAAGGGAGACTCTATTTGGATATGAGAATATTTGGTTTGAATTTTGGCTTGAATGACCTGGGGCAGTTTGAATAGCCTCTTCTATACCTCCTTCCCACATCTCTTCCACTGGAAAAGCAAGAGCTTTCCCCTCACAAAAGAGCCTCACCCCAGTCAAAAGAGTTGATAGGCAAAATGTTCATTGTGCTCATTAGCATGCAGAAAGCCAACAAAAATGTTAGCTATTACTATTTTCATTACAAAATATGGGCCAATTAGACTAATTCTATCTGATGTACACAGCCATGACTGTGTCATTTCTATAGTGTGCAATAATATTGCAAGCTCGTATTAGATAAATTCAAGAGGAAAAAAAAATCAGAATAGCAATTCTTTTTTCAGTTGGGATGATAATTACCTATGTAAACACAATTTTTATTGGAATGAAACAATTTGTTAGGCAATAGGATGATAGGTAAACTTTTATTAACAAGGCTAATTGTAAAATGAAAACGACATAAAGCTAATATTTAAAATCAGTTTTTAAAATAATAGGAGGCTTTCTGGAGGTCTCACTCTGCAGAGTATGATGAGAAGCTTCAGCTGTGGGCTGTGGGCTGCATTGCTGTGCTTGCTCTCCCGGGTTCAACAAAAAAGGTTGGCAGAAAAATGTTTATGAGGCCAAACTATTTCTTCCAGCACCAAGTGGTTTTGGGTTCCAGGGGACGACATGTCTCCTGAGACCTCAGACATCACACACGTGAGTGCCACCCCCAGGCCCCATGGTGCTAGCACTCAGCTTCTGTGAAAGAGAGCTTAATAAAATTCACACAGCGTGAAATGGAAAGTCTGGGGGAAATGAAGAGTTTTCACAAAGTGAAACAAATGAGCTTTCTTTGTGGATTCAGAGTGAAGAGACCCAGCCGCGGGAGGGGAAACTGTGGCTAAGTCGTGAATGCGCCTTGTTCGAAGCGGAGTTTTGTACATTGTCATCTGGAAAATGCCGCTGATTACCCTTTGGAAGTGAGATAATGAGACTCAAATTGTTATTTTATACTCAGTCACTGAGATAGAAAGTTCTAACACTGACCCGCTTGCTACAAGTTCACACTGCCCAGTCGGGGCTCTGAAAGCTCACAGAAGGGTGTTTTTCAGCCTCTGAAACAAACATGACTGTAAACTCCACTGTTTGATCAAGAAAAAAGGAACAAAACTGCTAGCATTAAAAGCAAAGACATTTTAGGTACAAGGTGCTCTTCAGTTAGATCCCCACAGCCCAGCTGAAGTCAACTCTTCAGCTAAACTGGCTCATATTCGTGATTTTGGTCAGCAATATGGGACCAGACATTTTAGCTCTTTATGGTCATTGTTTCAAACTCGTTTTGGGGGACAGACTTGAAGAGTTTTTTTTTAAGATTTATTTATTTGTGCATACAGAACTGGAATACAGACCAGAGGTGCAGGGGTGGTGAGAGGATTCACCAGAGACAGAGTGGGGAGCAGAACAGGTGGATTTACTGAAATACACTGCTGAGGGGAGCAGCGGGCAGGTCAGGAGAGGTCTGCCGCGCCATGTGGTCACCTCCAGGGCAGGCGGGGATCGAACTCATGCAGAAGCGGCTTAAGCTTCTTAGTGTTGTGCTTTAACCCGCTGCGCCACCAGGGAGGGCCCAGAAATACTCTTTAACTTAGAAAAATTGTTAAAGAATGCCACCCCTAAGCCCCCTGTCAGTTAACAGTCAGGTCCTCATAACCACTGGAAGAGGTAAGACTGACACACACTTCTGGTGGGGCTTTTGGACACTGTCATATGAGGGATATTATAGTGCGATCCAGAAGCCCCAGGACACAAATTTCAACCCTCATGCCGTGGTCTGTCCTATCATTTAGCACATATTTGTCAAGTACGTGGTAAGCCTGGCACTGTCTTGAGCCTGGGGATAAAAAGGAGGGAAAAAACTGATGTGGCTCATTGCTTTTGAGGTTTTCGAGCTGTGGGGAAGATTAGCATTGTTCAAAGAACAGCACATTTGCTGTGGGAAGTGCCAGCAGGGGAAGACGCCGGAGGGGGCAACGGGGACAGAAGGGGGGTTCAGGCACCTGCTCACTCACCTTAACGTGGAGAACCCACTGTTACTAGGTTTATTTCCCTTTCAATTAAACAGCATGGTACATACGACGATGGGCTGCTCGTTCACACCCACTGCAGAGAAAGTCCTGCTTTGGGGACAGTCCCTCAACTGGACTGTGGCTTCTGAGCGTCTGGGATCTTCAGCCAGGGGAGAGTATTTTTTTTTTAAAATAAGTTTATTTTTACATGATTTTGTGTCTTTTCCCATCTCAGATGTAATCCCCATGGGCTTCCCATCAGCAAATCACCCATGTGCCATCACCATAGTCCAGTGCACTTCCCTCCCCCCACCGTTTTTGATCCCATTCCCCACTGCACCCCCACAAAATGTCTCTGGTATACAGCTGTTCATCATTATCATTATTTTCTGACAAAAACTTTTTAAAGTGCA